AACCCATGATCAACATGGAGAAAAGGGGAAAATGCAGATATTTATCGAATCCACTACATTTGAGCACAGATAACTTATCAAGATAAAAATGTAATCCATTGCCGATGTTGAAAAATAAATCTTTGTTTTTTATTGTTTTTAAACAATATGAATAGAAACAATAAGAAATATTAAATGTAATAAACTATCATTAATGAAATTCAACAAGAAATAACAATGTCGTTAACAAATAATAATTGAAAATGATATTAAAAGTTTAAATTTCTACGAAATAAATTATACTACATTCAAAAATAGTTATATCAATGAATATTTACTAAAAAGATTAATTTATCAATCTATTGAATATTATTGATTTCTGCAATAAAAACTTTAGTTGTACCTGTGTTTTCTATAAATTTACTAAATTTGTAATTGTTATTAGCGACACACTTTTTCCCATGTCTGATCTCAAAAATACCGGAAACTTCCACGTTGCTAATACTATAATGAATAATAAACCTTATTGTCGATTACAAATCCAAATTGGAACTGAACTTACTGAACATCTGAACGCTGAAACTATTGTTTCAACATATATAACATATAAAATATAGTTTCACAAACTATATCGTATAAATAGTTATATATAGGTAGAGCGCGGATTTCTATGCAATCCCATATTTTTTTTTTTTCAATATTTTTGAATTTTTGTCAGTTATCTCCACGAATCATCATAATTTGAAGCTAATGGTGAAATTTTTTTGCATATTTCTGCATATTTAGAGGTTATTACATATTTTTGCATATTTTGGCAAAATTCAAAATTTATTGCATATTGAAGTGAAAATTTAAAAAAAAATATATAAAATAATATTTTGTCTAGTAGAAAAATTAAAAATAAATTTCATAGTCACTAAATAATAATTTATATATATATTTAGTTATAAAATAAATAATCGATAACGACGTAAATTTAATCGCTCTTGCTGTGTTAATCGATTATCGACATACGACTTGCTTCAAATATGCCCCAATAACTTCGGTTGACATCGAGGGTTCGTTTTCAGTCTTTAAAAATATGTTAACCGATAAACGACACAGCTTCACAGAAGATAAACTTGAAATGCATACGATTATTTATTTTAATAATAAATAAAATTTTAAAAATAAATTAAGTTCGGAAAATTCCCTAAATTTTTTTTGTATTAAGTATTTAAGTAATTAATTTTTATGAGTTGAATTATAAATTTTAATTAAATAAAAAATGCTTGCATATTTTTTGCATATTTTCATGATTTTTACTGCATATTTATGGCATATTTCGCTACTTTTAAGTGCATACAAATCCGCGCTCTATATAAAGGTATATATATATATATAGATAATCGTTTCTGTATTATCACAACAGGTGATTAGAGTATGTATCCAAACGTTCTGCGCCCATTTTATTTATAAGCATATATAATTCAAAACTACTATAAAATATTTACTGCGAATTTTTTTTAAAAAATATTATTAAATTTAATAAAAATACAATTAATTGTTTATACTAGAACTCTTTTACAATAAACTAATAAAATAAAATAAAATTAATGATTGAACAATTTTTCACATGTTACATACTCATATATTCTTTTAATTCTAGAAACAAACCTATATTTTATCCTTCCTTTAATTCTTCTAATACATAGAAAATCTATTCGCCTGCTAATAAATTAATGTCAGCTGGTAATTCCTTGTGTAATATTGATCTTTTTCACACATAAATCACCGAATTTACGGCATCTCTATATTTATTGTAACTAAGAATTATTTCTTACCTATATTTAATTATTATATTATGCTCTTGTATTTTATTTCTCCTTACATGAAAAATGTGTCATTAATTATTAATCTTATTTTATTAGTTTAAACTAAATACTTAAATTATTTAACCTGTATATACTTATATTTAATTTAGAAAATTTTAAGTTTAATTTAGATTTAGATTATTGAAATACTGTCATATTGTAAAAAATAATTATAGTTGGAATTTTATTTCCGTAATAAAGAATAAAGATATAGTATTATATGAATTCAGATAGTAATATATATGTACAAAAAATAAATAATTGTATAGTATCTACTAATACAGTGTCACTATTAAAAAATATTACATTTTTTGATTATTTATGTTTCAATTTAGGTTATTGAAAAATAAAATTGGTAATGAATAGATATTTTATATTTTTCGTTTAATAATTAATAAAGCTTCGATAAATACTACATATTAAAACTATGGTTATGTTTAAGTCTTATCCTTAGTATGGACCCTCACTATAAAGGACTGTATAGAAAATTATATTTAAACAATATTATTAAGGAAAACTAATGAGTGAGAAAAATACGGTTAGACATACTGTATATAAAATATATTAATAAAAATATCAATTTCTTAAATGGAATTATTTTGTTCTTAAAATAATTTCTAAAATTATGTAAATAACTATGTAAGCACTTTGTTGTTTTTATGGTAAGTTTTATGTAAAGAAATGTGAGTACCAAAATTAATTTTGAAAATTTTAAATAAATCAATGGATTAACTTAGTTGAATGTTTTAAATAAAATCACATGCATAATATAACACTTTTTTTAAAATATGCTAATACTATTTGTTATTCAAACAAAATTAAACAATGATTAAAATATTTATTAAAAATGTAAAAGCATTAAGTTAAAATACATTTAAACCAGTGATACTAATGAATTTTTAATGTTTGGTAATTCCATAGTTATATCAACAAATATAATTTATGTATTATCGTGTATCCTTAATGTATTTATTTATTTATTTAACAAAATAAAAATACTGTTTTTAACAATTTGTATGTTAAATTTATTGGGAAAACATATCTATCATATTTAATTAATTAATTATACGTTATGATTACTTATTTCCCATTTTTATTATTTTATTAAAATAATTGAAAAAATTGAGTATTTTTTGGATTAACTATTATAATAATTATAATTAATAATATATGTATATTATTTTTTTATTTTAATTATTTGTAACAATTATTGTTACAATAGTTAAATTACTGTAATATATTCCATGAAAATAAATAACAATATTAAACTAATTTAGTAATTTTAGCCAGTTATTTTTGTTATAAAAATCGCTACTTAATCTTTTAAAATTTTTAATTTGTTCAAATTAAATAGATCAGATTTAATTTGATTATACAATAATAAACATCATATTAAAGTATGTGTCTCTTGTTTCATAATTTAGAAAAATATATTAACAGTTATTATATATTTAAATTAATTTTTCTACGTCTATTATTCAAAACCAATAAGCTTTATAATTATTTAAGATAATTATCAATTTTGCAAAGTTAAAAAAGATCAACAGAGAATCATTAACACGAAAAACAATAAATATTTAATTGAATGGTTTTGATGGCATGATAAAATAGAAAATCTGTCATCATGACTTATCAGACTATCATAATATTACCAGTTGTTCTCAATTATATAACAAATATTATGTCTTAATTTTAGTTTCTTATAACAGTTTTATGATAAAAATATTGTAAAATTATAAACTATTTCATTATTAAGTCTCAACTCGCACGAATTATTTTTGTTTTACTTTACAGGCGAACAAAACAATAGAAGTTTAATGTTATTAGAGAAGTTATTAATATGGAATGAAATAATAGTACCTACCTATATTAAGACATATTTGTAGAAAGTGACAAGTAACAACATTTGTACATGGTAGTATTTTTTTTTAACATTTTTATTATTAGAATGAGACTTTTATGGCCTATATTATCTTAATATACATAATAAACAATTATACAATTAAAATCCAGGCTTAAAACCGTTACTAATAAAGTTGGTAATCGGCTCTGATAGGAGCCGAAAATTTTTTAAAACCGGTAACCGGTTATCGTTTAATTTTGTTATTATGGTGACCGGTAACCGTTTCTTTAAGGATATTTCAAAAACTATAGTAACCGTTAATCGTTTAAAAGCCGATGATAAGATTTTTAGGGAATCGGTTACCGGTTAAAACCGGTTTTTAAAAATCATATTTTTCAATCAAATTTTTAAAACCGTTTATTTAGGCGATTCGTGGGTTAATAATATAACTTTTATTATTACAAAATCAAAAACTTAATATGCTTTAATTTGGTCGATTTCACTCAAAATCAATATTTATTTTTTCAAACTGCTTTAAAGTTTAAAATATATTATGATCGAGATAATGATAATCAAAAAACTAAATTGCATAAAAAAATTGTATTTTTATAATTTTCTTATTTATAACAGAAAATAATTGAAATTAAATATAATAATTTTCTAAGATGACACTAAGATTGATACATTGCTACAGAACTTTTTGGTTATATTGTGTATAATACAGTACCCCAAAAAATGGATGAGCAGATATTAAAACGACAGTATTAAAATATCATAAATACTAAATGGACTCTATTATTATATTACTCTATTCCACCAACTATTTCGTAATAGGAATCAGTGCACCACGACGACGACGTTTATGACGGTATTTATAATGTATAGTTATACATATATATATATATATGATATTCATAACAGATAAGCTATACTCGACGATCATTAATTGGGGCTATTTGAGGCTAATTAATTATAAAAAATATTTAAATATAGCTGTAAAATTAAATTCAACTATAATAATATAATATAATCATGACATAATTCAAGTATTAATACCACGAAAAAACCATTAACTATTTTGGTCGGGAACAGGTTTTGGTTATAAAACCAGGATTTAAAATGCGAGGTAATCGCTTTGATGTTAATATTTAGATATTCACCTTGATTACTGATAACTAATAACCGCTTCCAGCATTCCAAAACTAAAAGCGGTTATCATTTTTCGGTTCTCAAATTTACGGATTTTACCGGTTTTCGTTACAAACCGGTTACCGGTTTTATTCCCTGATTAAAATAATAAAAAATAATAATATAATATGACTTACCAAAAACTGTGTCAATTCAAAAGATTTATTCCAAAAACATTTTTCTGTAAAAAAAAAAAAAAATTCTGTAGATTTATTTATATGATTAATTATAAAGTTCGATTTGAAATAAAATCGTGATAAAGTGAGATAAATATTCAAATTTAATATGTGACTTGTAAAATATTACAAAGCTCAGTATACATTATTATAATTCAAATATCTTGCTCAAATTATTCACATTTTACTGGTAATTTACTGTTAATATTAGCTTATTAATCATTACAGACGTGATAACGGATTTAATGGCATACGAAAATATACATAATAGTACGAATATAAATTAATATAAGTGAATAATATTGAATCTAAAATCATATTATATGTATGTAAATTATTTTAGAAAACTGTATTAATATTGAGCTAGAAAATTTTAAAAATGTTATTTTTTTAACTGTGTTGATTTGATGAGAAATGTGATTATCTCACCCACACAAATAACACGATAAGAATAAATATGTTAAATTTTCAAAATTTACATTATACAATACGAAACTGTTAACATACCTATACTGATTGAATAATAGTGTTTTCTGAAAAACATCGTATCATTAAAACCAATAACTACATTTTTCCCCTTAAAAGTCAAATACCAATATGTATATAACCAATTAAATTGTTACATGAAGCAATTATTTATTAAATTAAATAATATTAACATTGAATTTAACAACGTTTATTGTATATAACTATAAGATAGTTAAATGCAGTTGTAAATCAACCATTGGTTACCGGTTATGACATTTTTGAGGGAGAAACATCTATTGTTTTATAAGTCAGAAGCATTGTTTTCGTTCAATAAAACGTGGGTCTCTAGCAAGTTATAACATTTGTATAACATCATACTTTGCCTTATGTACATGCATCTTAGCCAAAATATGATTGCGTTCTATGTAAAATAAGGAAATAATAACAATATAATTAACAATATTATGATCAATCTGAGGAAATATTTTCCATAATTTTATTTATTATATTTATATATATATTTAATTTCATTAATTAATTATCTCTACTACACAGCACAATATAATTGCTTTGAAATGCAAATAGTAATTATGGTATATAAGTAACACGACAGAACATAGAGAACACATCAGTTATATAATAAGCAAAATTAAAGTGGGTATAATGAGTGACGAGCCGACCAGAATCTTGTATATAGGCATAACACACGTTTGTCCGCACTCGGTGAATGGAGGATTAGAATCTTACAAATTTCAATTACATATATTGTTACCACTATTATCATAATTATTATCATTATTATATACACGGTTAAATCGTACAGCGTTTATCTTAGATTTTTACTCGGTCACCTGTTAAAATCAAGGGCTGGCCCTTAGTAGTTTTCATAATACCTGGTAATGAAACGTGTTTAGTCGGTACCAACTTTCATCGGTTTCTAAACGGGATGAAGACTACGATGGGTATGTAACGTCCGGAGAGAGTGAGTGCACAGCCGAAGGGAAGAAAAAACAAACTTTATCTTTTCCGGTTGCCAAGTAAATGTAAGATGGCAGAAAAACCATTTATTATAACTGTTTTTGGCTCCGGAATCCAAATAATAAATATTCCAATGGTGGCAAACTGCGGGAAACGGGTGTCCTCCTACCCGCGATCCTACTCGTTCTATACAGTAGTCGTGGAACGGTCTACAGAGGGTGTGTTAGTAGTAATAATAGTGGTAGTGTGGTAATGGTGGTAGTGTTAGAGCTAAATAAACGGATAGAAGCGAACGGACAACCGAGAGAATGTCAGACATTTTTGAAACCCAGCTCAGAACTTATCGAAAACTTTATACTGTCGACTCGCGCTCTCTCGTTCACTCTTCCTCTCTATTGTTTCGGATTGTAAATGGACTCTTCGCAAACGCCATCGTCAGCAAACCGATAGCAAAGGCGGTGACAGTAGTAGTGGCGGTGGTAGAGGTGAGTGGGCAATGTAGTAGTGACGATGGCCGAACGAAAGGAAGCAATTAACTCGGATTTATTGTTAGAAGGCGTAACGTTTTAATTGAAACAACAACTTAAGCGTGCGCGCTCGTATGTGTATGTGTGTGCGCGCACGCACGACGTGTCCATGTGTATATAATCACTTTTCGAAAAACGAGAACAAAATTCCTTACTTCCGCACTGCTTAGATCGAAAAATCGGAAAATCGTGATACATCAAAAGTACACAGCGCACCTAGAGAAACGTGACGTCTCGTAGAGTGTTGCCAAAACATATTTGCCACACTTTTGCCATCATGTTCCCTCGTGTGTAGTAACGAGTGTTTGATGTTTTTAGTTGTTATCGCTGTGGCGGAACATTTTCAGTTCGATTGAACTACGTCCACAAAAGTCACAGCAACAACATCACTAACATCAACATCGATCAGTGTGCTACGTGTTACAGTTAAAGACTTTGTAACAACATATCATTGCGTTTGTATACACATGAATAATGTGAAAAGTTTATGAATAGACAGTACTGTCGTTAACGGAAAAGAAAAGAAAGTACCATCACGAGTTGCGTATAATGGTATTTATGTTATTCAGATGGGGGAGGGATGTTAATTCTTTACATTTTTTTAAATTAGTTGAAATACATAGAGTTTTATTTACTAACCGATACAATGATTGAGACACTATATTTACAACAAATTTTAACTATTACATCACAGATTTTTATTTTATTAAAACTTTTACTATTGTTGTTTTATTTTATTATTATTGTTAAAATTTTTATTCATTGTTGCACAAGAAATTTAATTATCTTCACAAAAAGTTTTGAACCCAATTACAAATAAATAAAGCATAATATAAACATTTCAATTTAGGTAATTTTAACTACATACAAATATATACGAGTAATACATAACTATATTTTACTATTAGACAAAATAAACTAACATATAAATAAATAAACAAATGCTTAGCCTGGAGAATTATTATATTTATAAAGTATAACTGGTTTCAATTCCATCCTCAAATATACTTATACAAGTTCAGTAAAATGTTTATATACCGACGATGAATTTTTAATTCAAAACCGATCGTACTTTACAATTATAATAATACTCCAAGATAAACATATATTTATTTATTTATATATTCATTTATGAGTATATCTTATTTATAAGATTCTCCGATCAAAGTATTTGTTATTAAACTCCTATGATAAGGCTTGTATTATATAAAAATTACTTTTTACGGTAAATACATATGTGAGTATGTTAGATTTTGTAAATGTACGTTACACTCAGTGTTGGGATTTATCTAGGTAGATTTTTTGTCATCTTTTATCTTATCTAGATAAATAACGCTAAGTTATCTAATTACTTATCTAAGATAAAAATTTTACTTATCTAGATAATTGTCTGTATTCTTGCCAAGATTAGAGTTATTTTTATTCATGTATGGAGACGACTCCAAGAAATCAGAGATCATCAAAATCGGTCCAGCCGTTTTTGAATTATAAATTCTTTAAATAAAGACTTTCTTTTAAACACATAGATTTTGTATTCATAATCATATTTCGTGCATTGTTAATAAGTAAATATTATTTCTTGGTTAGGTTTGTTTGTATTTTCACGTCGGGAAAATATTTTTGGTATTTTTAAACTTAATTTCTTATTTTTCCACTTAAGTTTCAAATATAGTAGGTATTTGATTTTAGTATACACATGTAACTCATATACTGAATAGTCATTACTTCACTCTTGGAACTCGTTAAGTCGTAACTACTTATAGAATAATGAAAAATCATCAAATTAATATTATATGGAAAACAATATTGTTAACTTAAAATAATTTTTATGTATTCTGTATTCATCCTGATACGTACAGAGCAATTTTCATTTTTTTTTTTTTTTTGTGTAATATTTTAGTGATTAACTATCATTAAATATTGTACATTATATATAAATACTGCTTAATGGTACACTATAATACTACAATAAACATTAAACACCTAGATACCTATTGATAATAATGGTTATAATCGAGTCGTCACAGATATTATTAGAATATGAAATATTGACCAAAAATAACATTTTTTGAAAATATCTTTTTTTTTAATTAGATAAATTTTGCATTATCTATTCCCATCACTGGTTACACTAGGTTGATGATATGAGTCGTAGATAGAAATTGGTTGAGCTTGATGATGTTGACTGAATCTGGGCTTAGTATTTCCGCTAGGTGGTCGGATAATTGAAATTTTCTTTTATTCATGCTATATACTTATACTCCACATACGATAAGAACGCGTTTGACTGTGAGGGGTACCTCACAGCATAAGCAGGTATAGGGGTTTTATTTTTTCATTAAATAATTGTGCGTTAGACAAGTGTGTCCAATTCTGAGATGGTTGATAGCGGGCTCATATTTTCTTGGGGCTTTGGTGGGGAAAGTCCAATGTAATATTGTTGTTTTAATTTCATTACAGACATTTATTTAGCTACAATAAAAATAAACCATAAACGATTCTGTTAACATAAATTACTTTTGAATCCAACTAATTAACGATAGGAAATATCGTATATTATTATTTAAGGACATTTTTTATTATACGTATTTCTTAAAATAAAAAATTATAAATTCCAAACAAAATATATACATAATTAAAGTTACATAAGTTTTGTAGATATAAATTACAACACTGAATTGTAAATGTGAGTTGTCAAACAACAGGCCCTCGTATTTTATTACTATTAGAATTATGATTATATACCAACCTAGAGGTTTAAAGACAATGAATACCGAGACGCGTTAATTGGGCCGATACTACTAGATATTCAAAATCCGTAGAATATTGGTCTCGTGATATTTTTATCAAACATCTTTGTGTATGATTTATTTTGTATTTTTATTTTTAAACCACACTGGGTCATATATAAATTGAAATTCTTATATACATGCGTCATAACCAAAACACCAGTAATTTTTAATTCACGTGTCCCGCGGCGAGATAAATGACGTCCACAATGGGTAAAATATTCGCGTGTGTGTCCACACGTG